CATATATTTATTTGTTGATAGATCTATTTTATTCTACAGTCTATTTTTATTTGTATACAAAATTTAAGTGAAAAAACCCCCATTAATATACAAAAAACAGCTCAATTATGAAGAGGGGAGAGGGTTATGATGAATTTTATTGTAGTTTTCGATATTTTATAAGTTCAATTTGATTAAATTGGTAATTGTAGTATTGAAAACGTTTGTCAGAATAAATCCTTATTGTCTTTTAACATCACTATGCGGTTTAAAAGAACGTTGACCAAAATAATAAATATTGAAAAAAAAATTCATTTAAAGACATACTGTTTTACGGAGGCTTCTTCCCCTTTATTCTATTTATATGAATTTTTCGAATCATGGAATACATATACAATTATTATTATTACGAATACATCAAGATCATTTTATTCCAAGACTACTATGGATAGGGAAATCATTGAAAATAATAAAGGACTGAATAGATAGTTCATTCAAGTATGAACGATTGTAGTAATGTACCAATTCAATGTTATCTGAAATTAAATTAATGAACATTTTTCTCTTTCACAGTAAAAGAAAACAATACAATGAAATCAATGAGTCAATTTTCAAACCATTTAATTTTTCATACACATGATTCCCTTTATTATTTTAAAGAGAGCAAGAACAAAGATTAGTGCAGAATAATATGAATTCATTTTATTTCGTTAGGTTCTCATCAGCTGCTTACAACCTAAATTATTTGAAAATTCAACATTAATACAGATATTGACATATTTATATATAAGAGTGTGATTAAGGATGAATATATGTAACATAATGTAGCAAAGATTTCGTTAGAGTTAAGGAGATCATAAAATTTTGTTTTGAATATATAGAGTTTGGGAGGGAAGGTTCCGGAAAATTGAAATAGTGATTAGAACTCATGAAAATTGATTAATGGTAATAAAGAAAAATATGAATTGAAATCAGTCAGTCATGTATGATGTAATTTAAACTTCAGAAAGAGTTGAAATAATGACACAGTAAATAAATAAATAAATAGAAATGAATGAATAAAAAAAGGGTTTTTATAATGTAAATTTTGGATTTCAACTGTATCATTTTTGTATTGAAAAAGATAAGCTTACCCTTTGTTTTTTTGAAAACAAAAAATATATTTCCCATAGTTTTCATGTATCATTCGTTGCATTCACTTTCCTTAAGACAATAGTCAATTTTTTTTTCATTGAATTATATCTAAGAATGTGAGTTGTTTTTCATTATCCTTTATAAGTTTGACAACTGTATTCTGATTTTCTACTTCTCATTATTCTATAATACAATTTAGTTGTCTTTTTATTAATAAATTCAATTGTTTATTGCTTAATTTGTATTAAGAGATTTTTAATGACAAATTTTTAAATTACATCAAATTACAAAACAACATTTGATAAAATTGTCATTGAATTATGTTTCTATTCTGTGTATTCATTATATTGGATTATTGAAATGTTCTGACGGTTGATGATGATTTTTGTTGATACTTTAAACTGTTTAATTATGAGACAATTTTTGTTTTAGAGGAATTATGTATATAAACTAGTTGTTATTGTGTTTACTTTCCAAAGAAAACAACAAAAAAAACACAAAAAAAGTAATTTGTAGTGAAGAAAAAGGAAATTAACATACTGATAATTGATTTGTTTACCTTCTGTTTTCTGCATGGAGTAAATCATCGTTGTATTGTTATAGATATATGTTAATAAGAATGATTATGCATAAACAATGTATGTTGTCAAAATTAATAGAATAATAATTCAACAATCTGCGTGTGTATAGATGATTGAAGTAATCAAACCATAATAAGTTTTGGCAAATTCTGTTTAAATTAAGATTTAATGGTCGTGATGATAATAAAGTCCGGTAACCAGATCAATGTTTTCTCAGAAACTAAATATTCTAGCGATGAATCTTTATCATTAGTTGCGTTAAGCTAATATTCAGGATATATTTTCATTCACATCTTGTTTGGTGAATTGTAAACAATTGCTTTGAAAAGTTATTCAAACCCTAATTTATCACATTTACAGTGAATGGAATTAAAATATGCTACAAATATTTTCAGAGAAAAAGTAAGACCGAAAAGTAATACCGAATAAATTGTAATTTTTAAACTGTGATAGTGATTCTTTAACTAAATTGAGAGTGTGTCTCGATCTAATTTTTTTTATGAAATTATATTGTTACTAGTGGACTTCATATTTACCAAGATGCTGAATGACTTCTATAATATACGTTAACTGAGAGAACTATACGTAACATTGTTTGACGTTCAGAGCCTTATATATGAAAATGGAATCATTAAATTGTTAATAATAAATATATTTGTTGTTATATCCCAATGAATAGAAAAATTGTATTTCTCACGTTCCCTGCCTTAATGTGAGCCACTTCTTCAGAGTAAATAAATAACCGAAATAAATAGCTAAGTTATAATTGAGAACGGGTGGCTCATGTAGAACAAGGTATATAGGTAGTTCAATGCGTATTTTAGGATGATGATGGCTCATGATGAATATTTAAAGCCTTAACAATAAAACTATTATTAGTTACCATGGCTTAAATATTTTTTTCATTGCCTTTGTTTATTCTCCTTCATATTTTATTTCATGTTTAACCTAAGTCTATTATTTCAGTTATTTCATTAATTTTAATTATTAACATCCTGAAAAATAAGTTTATATATTTGCAATTGAACAGCTTTGAAAATAAATTCGCCAAAAAGAGAGCACTTTTATTGAATCATTCTTTCTCATGGACTCACCTTGATCAGGGATAACTTGATATTGCCATGTCCGGAGATTTGTAGCTCAGGTGGATGATTTTGGTGGAGTTTTGTTCTCTGAGCTTCTATCTGACTTCTATCTGAAGTTTGTGCTGATGATGTCGTTCAGAAGAACGATGAAAGCTCCACGACCAAACCATCCAGCTCAGAGAACAAAACTCCACCAAAATTGCCATGTCCAGACCATATATGATTTTGATTGTACTAAAATATTTTGCATTGTGCGGTTTTAACTTATGTTAATTGATTCCGATTATGTTATAGTAAAAATATGTGCGAATAATTTTAAGCTATGAAAATGCAAAGACAAAGATTGTATAAACATTAATCAATTCATGTCACCATATCAACAAAATGATTGATAATTAATTAGATTACAATTTTTTCAAGTTAAAAGAAGCGATTTAACATATTTTTTTTGTTGATGCAAAGTTCCGGTCTTTTGATTGCAAAAGCAAATGCTTTAGCTGCTTCTTAGTTTGACGGTTTCAGTCAGATTTGCTAGCACGATATATTATTATAAAAGATTGCTCCATATCTACTGTATGATCCGTTTGCATTCAATTATCTAGAATGGAGCTGTTAACAGTTTTAACTATGCTTCTACTTTATAAGACCGGAAGGTATTCGCAAACACAAACATAAAATACCCTCGAACATTTGACGATATAACGTGCTCCACAAGAGCAACTGAATCGATATATAGGCATAAAAGGTGGCTAGTCTAGCTAATTAATCCTTCGATCTCGAAGTGTTCATTGGTCATGTTGAATAGTTTTTGCTTTCCTTTAATAATGGTTCTTTGAATAACTCTGTGCAACTTAAACATTAATGCTTTGCTGGATACGCCACTTCTAAATTATAGACGTATAAATAGAGATATTTTGGTCATAGTTAGTACTTTCTTTTGCACTATTTTTGGATAAACGTTTATTTATAAATTAATCAGGATACCTATTTTCTTTTAGAGTATTACACATACTATTTCTTTACCTTTAAATGTATCTGAGCGGCATATGACATTGATTCTGTATTGAAGTGTCTGAATCTAGAGGAATAAAACTAAGAAAATTTGAATATTGACTAGTTTAAGTGATTTTCTGTTTAAGGTTTCTTCTTATCTACCAAACCTCCTGTTACTGATGTTCATTCTAGCAAATAATCTTAGAATTTTACTTAGTAAAAACATATTCATATGTCATCTCAACATTATCAAATTTATGTTATTTCACAAACAATACGCAATTTTCATGGTATTATTCTGAGGAATGTGTTTACCGTAGACCTGACCAATTTTAGATTATTAATTTATATATACATATATGTAGAACCTTCAGAGAATGTATTGAAAAGAATATATTTGATTTATACATCTGTGTTTTGAATAATATCTACTTATAAAAAGATTCGATCTTTCACAATTAATGTATTATCTGATGGATCTAGCTGAAACACATTTTCTGAACGGGATGTTCATAAACATGTGATATCTCGTTTCAATAACGCGTATTTTCGTATTAATAATGACAATAATAATAATAAACTTATAAACTGTTACTTTTGTATGTTCATTACTAAATACATCTCTATGTTGGATTTGTGGACATTTTTTGTCTGGAGATTTTGTTAACAATACAATAAGCATTTGATTGGTCAATAGGATTTCTTTTTTTAGTTTATATTCAAAATTCATTCATTTTATCAATTTTCATTTATACTCGTTTTCTATCCGATTTCATGTCATTATCTTTCACTATACATAAAAGAAAAACTTGAGGATATATTCTCCATAAAATTCGAAATCGAACCGAATAGCTGTACATTGATTTAAACAAATAACATGTTAGTTAGAACTAATGTATATCAATCTTTCTGTTCAGTTACACGCATTGAACATAGATTTCCGCTCTTTACTTAGTATATAACTAAAATACTGAACTTATGAGTGATCTCTTTTATTATTACTCTCTGTTTATCATCAAGTCACATGTTTCGAATTTGAAATCTCAAGCATATAATTGAAAGACTAGCAACAACACAAAAACATTAACCATAACAATGTACAAGCATGAAGTCGTTTTATTCATTTGGATTATACTTATTTATTCATTGGATATTGTACACCATACTTTTAGTGAAAGTATTACTGATCAAAGTTCTAATCATAAATATAACCGAAAGCATGAATCAATTAATTTGATTAACGGGCTATGGATAAGCAAAAATAATGACAATACTTTGAATAATAATACTAAACAAATGTTGGGTAGTAAGAAAATTTATTTTGGTAAGTTACGTTTACTATTTCCATTCTTTTTTAGACATGTTATATTCTTGAGTTGAATAATTTTAATGGTTCTACTTGAAACAAAACTTGTGTTTTTTTTCATATCATCGTTGGCATATCAATCTAACAACAGTAATGGCAATAGTTCGAAGATTATACGGTTAACTACTTACAAGTATATTGATTACCTCTGTAAAATTATTCTCTAACACAACATACAAATAATATTCCCTTAGAAGTTAAATTAATTGTAGATATCTCTTTTGATTAATCCTCAACAAAACCACGTACGGCTTTCACTGTTGTTTACTTAATAAAGTTATTTTAAAATATCATCAGAAGTGTCGTTCATTATCAAAGACATTAGTTCGATTAGTTCGTAGTAACTTCTTTGACACAATTTAAGTTAACTCAAGTACAAAGTAATAGTACTGAACATGTATGTCAAATAAGTTTGGAATTGAAGGCCGTTAGTTATAAAATTATATTACTAGTGCCACTCATGAGTCTATTTTATTAGAGTGAAAAACAAATTTACGGATATTAAAATTGTACGGCATGATGTTAAACTTATTAGTTTGTATTCATGTGATGAGAATTCACAAATAAATCCAATCATAAGAAAGCCATGTAATTTAAGTGAAAGATGATTGTACAAGTAACATTTTTGTTTGTATTCATGTGTTTATAATTCGAAATGAATAAATGCATTAATTGTCATGCGATTGAATAATTTGGTTTCTATCTTCAAACTCTGAACCTGAATAGGTTAAGTATGTATGATTAGATGGATTGCTTGAGTTTGTTGGTAAGTTGGTCTCAGGTTCCTTCCAATCGAACGATGTGAGATTTTGTAACCACATGCTTTTCTGGAAATCATCACTAGATTATCTAAACATTATTACGATGAAGTTGAAGAAGTCGAGTAAGGCATGCGCTTTCACTGATGATTTGATTCGTTGATTAACGTATCCTACAAAAGTATCATGATCGATGGATTATGACTAAGATATCTTTCAAGCAAATTATAAGTCATTTAAAGCACCATGACAGTAATAACCAGTGGACATTTGATTGATCGATTATGAACGTTTGCTGACGAACCATAAGCAAAGTACTGATATATTCAAAAAGGAATGACAGCCTATGATTATAGAATATCATACATTACCATTGTTTTGCCTTCTGAGATGAATAATTTTATATGTTCCTTTAAAGATGATGTCACGTATCAGATAACTTGGAAGACATCTATTAGACTCGACTTAGTTACAAATGGGCAGTTACCTGACGGTAACATTAGATTATTAATGAAGCTTCAAATGGTTAGCAGCGGATCCAGAGGATATATTTAAAGTTCTTAAAACTAAAACAAGACTAAGGGTTATCAGAGGAAATCAAGAGAAGTAAAAGCTTAAAGCGATATACTTCTGCTCCGGTTGAATAGTGAAAAGTCAGAAATCACTCTCGTCTTTATAGAGGAGCAGGAAAAAATAGCATGATCCAATCGATCATATTTTACGAGTTACAGTTAGTTACTGTATGCCAAAGTCAGAAACATATACCTTACTTCAAGTTTCAGTATAATTTGTGGAATAATTTCAAGTAACATTTTTTGAGAAAAACACGAAAAAAATAAACACTATTAGAAGCTCGTTCATTTGTTGCGCCACGCTCTGTGACAACTTTGTATACTATAACTGTCCATTATATTACGTGACTGCTTAAAAGATGACTCAATCACTGAATACTACAAACACTAAATAATAAGAACATTATTTAGAAGATAAATAATCAGTTTGTTCTGTGCTTTAAAAAAGGTAAAACTAATTATAACTACTAGGTTAGTATCTCTTAATCTAACAATAAATACCTTATTCGGGGATAAAGGTTGTTGAAATACGTCAGTAATTTTGTACATCTATTTCGAAACCGGTTAATCATTTTTACTGAAAATCATTAATGACAATGGTAAATCATAATGAAAAATACTGTCAACTACTTATTGTGAATATATTTCCCGGCTAATGGTATCATATGAATAGGGTGTGTGTGACAGGTAAACTTTACTTGGTATATATAATCTAGTTAGTGAGTTATGAAAAATTCTACAGTTTGTTAGATTCATTTTGATAATAATTATTTACCATTTTTTTAATAAACGTATAATACAATGCGTTTGGCGACTGTTATATTGTAGACAGAAAGCTTGTAACACATTGATCTTTACAAAACGTGACTTATTGATAACCATTGCAAAAAAACTGTCAAATTTACAGATATTGATGGCAGAAACATTAGTTGAAAAATAAATATTCGGTTAAGTATAGTAGTCATGGTTATAAAAATTTGTAAATTACGAAATTGTTTCACTGATTGCATCACTGTCGCTCAAACTAGTTTGGTAAAATGTTACTATTCATTGTTTGATTTTAAAGTTTTGTTTGTAGATTAGACTTTGTCATTACAGTAATCAAAATGAAAATAATCGTTACGACTATAAATACTCAAATGCATACACCGATATATATATATATATATATATATATATATATATATATAAGAACTTTCGCCTAAATTTGAACGAATAAATTCACAATATTTGGGCGCCGAGTTAATGTGGAACATTAAAGAGGAAGAATGTATTTGTAAAATCTCAGCGAAAGAATTTTAAGTAAATCCAACTTTTCGCCTGGTAATCTGGTTCAAGCTTTTTCAAGGAAAATATAATCAAACAACAAAATTATCGAATATAAATAGGTACATGGTCCTCTGGTTTACTGTATACTGAATAAGTCATTCAATCAACGTGAACAATGTTTGAAGTAGGTATTTACATTACTGTGTAAGAGACACGTGGTGTGAAACGAAGTGTTAAGATTGTGTGTATACGTAAGTGAGAAGATATTTCATTCAATATATATTGTCTTCGGTCGGTGAATATTAAGAAAACATATAATTTTATGTATGATATGGATCAAAAATCTCACAGCATTCATTAAATGAAGATAAATAACAAGATAAGTGAACAAGATAAAAGACTGAATTCAAAGAAGAATGTATTTGTAATTGAAAGTTTGTGTTATTTTAATGTTCCAGTCAATTGTTTAACATATTCAGATAAGATAACTTATTTGAACCGTTGAATGTATTATCTATTGATTAGTTAATGATATAGATAGATAGAATGGAATAAGGAGTCCAGGTTTACTTATTAATTATTAGTTGCCATGGGACGGCTAATTGTATTCCATACTGTTTGAATTAGCCCACATATATAGTTATATCCGACAATCACTTTACTAATTAATTCATTTTTGTATTGGTTGTATGAGTCTCCCCATTGATGTTTAGGAATGCGATTGATTCACTCAAAGAGCCCATACACATACAGAGACAGATAAAATTCAATGAGATAATACAATACTTTACGAATGAGTTCATTGTTTAAACGCTTATCTCATCAGCTCTATGACTTTTTTTAACGTTTTTTTAAAAAAAGCTCCATGAATTGCATTATGTATGATTTCAGATGACAATTAATCATTCGAAGCGTCAGAAGTAGCGATTTAGATCCTTTTAGAAGTTATATGGAGATCGTCAGTATGGGGTTGTGAAGATTGTTGAATTTTTCTGAGATCATGAATACCTTTATTTATCTCATTGACTACTGTTATATTTCCTCACGAAGTATGCTTCACTAACTTTTCTTCAAATTGTTTGAAAGATTTTTCAGCTGTCAAGAATTGATATTTATTGTTCATTTCTAATATGACTATCCAAAACTTTAATGCAACGTAATTTGATGCATAGATACAGACATTTACTAGGTGCTATATTCTTCGATAGAATTCACAAGTATATGAGATGCTTATTAACATTATTTATCTGTGTATTGTGTAAAGATTTAAAATATACACTATCCCTTTTTCAGCATTTATCCATATGATAAACCTGACGATATTTACGTAACCGTTTAGTTTAGATCGCAGTATCCCAAACTTCGAGTGGTTCAACATTATTTAAGATATCATTTATCGGTTAAATTATATAAATTATAAAACTAGTTATTATTGACTTTATTTGAACTGCCAATGATAGCATGAATGAGAACGGTTACTGATTCATAAGCAAAGACGGATGGTGTCTAGCAGTGGCTTCCAGGACGCGCGTTTCGTCCTATTCGGAAATCATCATCTGGATGTACCTGCGTCTCAGAGTTGATACTCAAGCAATTTTGAGTCAATCCGCACATGATGCACATATACCAACAACAGACTGATCAATTACAGTCCTAAACATCACTAGAAAGACTCAAACAAACATTGCGAAATGAATTTAAACTGTATCCCATTTCACTAGCTAGAGCCTATTTGGACTTAGTAGCTAAGTGGCGTTTGAAGCGAACGTTATTTGGTTCAAGTCACGGAGTGTTCACCAACTCTGGGATGCAGAAACATCCAGCTGGCGTGTCCCAAATAGGAAAAAGCACACGTCCTGGATTCCACTGCTAGCATTTATTACTAAAAGTAATGAAATGGAAATGACTAGTAGATAAAGAATTCATATGAAAGTATTACAGAATTTATATGTTGATGATCAGACAACAAGCCCAATGTAATTGATAAATGAATAATTATAAAACATTAACTTTAAATTACGAATTGTTGAAAATTTGTTTATTCGTTTATTTAACTTTAAAAAGTCTTGTAAGTATAAAGGTGACATTCAAGATGAAGTGAGAATAATGTAAAAACGATTATGGTTTCAAAATTCTCCTTTAAGAAAATTTTTCAAACAGTTCCCATTGTAACTAATTTTACTATAAAGGTAAAAAAAGTCCGACTGTTTTCTGAAATGAATTATATTAATCATTATATGTGATTTAAAAGGACTGGCAGGAGAATATAGGATTTTTTTCAATGTCCCATAATTTATTATCTGATAATTCAATCAAACATTCTATGCGATTTAATACACTAGTAACAGCTTCAGTCACT